TCAAATTAAAGCTGACAGTTTGCAGTTAAAGCACATCTTGTTTGTTTCATTTCAAATCCATTGTGGTGGTGTATAGAGCCAAAAATGTTAGAATTGTGTCGATGTTCCAATATTTATGGACCTGACTGTATATGATGCTATTTTGGGCTTGACAGTCAAATAAAAAGTTTTGTGTTAACATATCACAGTGTTTAAACATGTAACATGGATTAAATACACTTGAAAACTTTTTGTACTCAGTGAAATGTTTGTGTAACCCTTAGTTCAGATGTATGCAGGTGGTGCCGCTGCGGGACACGCACAAATGCCTGCAGCCGCACCGCCCACACAGAGGAACGCGGGATCCGCACAAATGCCCGCAGCCGCACCACCCACACAGAGGAACGCGGGACCTGCACAAATGCCTGCAGCCGCACCACCCACACAGAGGAACGCGGGACCTGCACAAATGCCTGCAGCCGCACCACCCACACAGAGGAACGCGGGACCCACACAAATAGCCGCACCGCCCACACACAGGAACGCGAGACCCGCACAAATGCCCGCAGCCGCACCGCCCACACAGAGGAAAGCAGGACCCGCACAAATGCCTGCAACCGCACCGCCCACACAAAGGAACACAGGACCTGTACAAATGCCCGCAGCCGCACCGCCCACACAGAGGAACGCGGGAGACGCACAATTGCCTGCACCCGCACCGCCCACATAGAGGAATGCGGGACCCGAACAAATGCTTGCAGCCGCACCGCCCACACAGAGGAACGCAGGACCCGTACAAATGCCCGCAGCCGCACCGCCCACACAGAGGAACGCGTGAGACGCACAAATGCCTGCAGCCGCACCGCCCACACAGAGGAACGCAGGACCCGAACAAATGCCCGCAGCCGCACCACCCACACAGAGGAACGCAGGACCCGTGCAAATGCCCGCAGCCGCACCGCCCACACAGAGGAACGCGGGACACGCACAAATGCCTGCAGCCGCACCGCCCACACAGAGGAACGCGGGACCCGCACAAATGCCTTCAGCCGCACCGCCCACACAGAGCAATGCAGGACCCGCACAAATGCCTGCAGCCGCACCACCCACACACAGGAATGCGGGACCAGTGGGCGGGTGCCATTAGTTCTAATGGCATGCCGCCCGCACTGGAAATCTCAACCGTACTGTGAACCTCGGTTCCCATGCGGGCTGCAATTTCCGCAATAGTGCAGGGACTTCATCCCTGAGGGGCACGGGAGTCCATTCAAATTAATGGGCTCTCACGCCTGCACAAATTGCGGCCTACACGACTGCACAGATGTGTGAACCAGGGGTAAGACTCATCAGAAATGAGACTGCTACATGAAGGATATAAGCGACACTAATGGCTCATCCACACTAGTGTTTACAGTAGTGCTTTTACCACCCCCCAACTGCTACGGCCTTTAGCTGAAGAGGCGACAGCTGGGTTTGTACACATGCCATAGCCATGATGATTTGCTTCACAGCTGGGGCAGGAAGTATACACCCTGTCTCTTTTTAGCAGGTGTAGCGCCTGCTGGATGCAACCCATTCAAGTAAATGGGCCGCTCTACAAGTGCCCCAAAACTGCCTGCACTGGCACTCTAGTGCCAGGTTCAAGGGGTTAAAGCAGGCAAGGAGGTGATACAACCCCTCCTCACACCTGTCAAATACTCTGTGAAGAGTGATCTTCAGAGAGCAAAGCTACTGTGACAAGCCTAAAAACGGTATTAAACCTAAAAGCAAACAGTTATTATGCTTACATGTGATGGCTGCATCTATTTTCTTTTCTAGGCTTTCTTTCCTATATTTTCATTTGATGATCCTGCCAGTAAGTCTGTTGTTTTTCAACAGAATAAGAAGCTTTCCAGCAGTATGTGTCAATTACAGAGATGAGACAAACCATTTTACACTGACAGGGGTGCTTACAATGATCAGTTTTTTTTATTAAACAGATGTACATTTTTGGTTTCAAAAGGAAACAAACTGCTTGCTGTAACTGATTATAAAGTATTAGCTGGAGTTTGGCTCAATTCGATGGTGTATGTAAACCTGCTAGTCCATCTAACACTCCCCTGCCCCCAGACTGACAATGTTGCTGTCCAAAGGTGCCCCTGTGCTCTTTCATCCAGGGGGGGACACTCTAGGGTTGCCACTTCATCCTTTTAAACCCGAACACATATTGACTACACAGGTTCTGTGGCTGATTAAGGTGGTAATTAACCACTTGCACTCCTGAGGATTTACCCCCCCCCCCCCCCTTCCTGACCAGGCCATTTTTTGCATTACGGCGCTGCGTTACTTTAACTGACAATTATGCGGTCATGCAACGCTGCACCCAAATGAAATATACGTCCTTTTTTTCCCACGAATTTACCTTTCTTTTGGTGGTACTTGATCACCTGTGCATTTTTAATTTTTGTGCTATAAAAAAAAAAGACTGAAAATTGAGAAAAAAAACAATATTATTTACTTTTTCCTATTAAACATGTCCAGTAAACAAATTTAAAAAAAAACGAATTTTGTCATAAATTTAGGCCAAAATGTATTCTGCTACATGTCTTTCCTAAAGAAAATCACAATACGTGTAAATTAATTGGTTTACGTGAAAGTTATAGCGTTTACAAATGGCGCTATATATACACTGGGATTTTTTTTTTTTTTACCAGTAATGGTGGCGATCAGTGACTTATAGCAGGACTGCGGGACTGCGGCGGACATTCTGACACTGGAGGGGAACTGACTTGGTGTCGCTGACATCCCCAGTGACACCAATACAGTGATCAGTGCTAATAAAAAGCACTGACACAGTACTAATGACACTGGGCAGGAAGGGGTTAACATCTGGGGCGATCAAAGGGTTAATGTGTGCTGGGTGTGATTTACTATTGGGCTGTGTTGTGTTCTTCACTGCAAGCACACTGCTTTGGATGGCTGTGCTGTGCACAGCCATTCAAAGCAGTGTGCAGGAGCTGACAGGGAGGAGAACTGTTTTGTTTACGAACAGTTCTCTCCCCTGTTGGAGAACCTCGGCAATCACCGGGCACCGGCGGGTAATCACCCGGTGATTGACAGCCACGGCCGGGAATGGCAGTGCGGGTAAGGCGCGTGCGCATGATTTTGCGCACCAGTGCCGACTTGTAGCAGTATATCTGCTATAGGGCGGACAGGAAGCGGTTAAACTCACTTAGTGCCTTATCTGCATTAAATTAGCCTCAGAACCTGTGTAATTAATATGTGTTCGGTTTTAAAAGGATGAGTTGGCAACCCTAGGATACTCTAAAGCGGGCCATATATAGATCGAAAATTCTGATCCATGTATGGGCAGTCAGCTGTACACAAGTCAATAAACCAGCCTGTCAGGATTTTTCCTAAATGATCAGTGCCATAAGTATTGTGCATCCACATTTAATTTCTCTGTTTTTTTAGAATTTTAGAATATTACTGTTAGCAATCTAAAGGATTTCCAGGGTGTGGTCTGGAACCAAGGTCTGGTAAACTATAAAATATGCTGGGTCTGGAAAAATAGAACCTTTTCTTATAGATATAAGATGGTATCAAAAAGTTTTGAGACTAGTTTTGTAACACGCTAACAGATGGCAGCACAAGGCTGCACCCACAGTCACAGGGAACATCGACCTTCATAAGTCAGTGTGCCAAAAGACATCATCCTGTGTACATCAAGAGCTGTGCAACTGGTGCTATTCTGTCTACATGCGTTACCACGTCTGCTCAGGGGCGGACTGACCTTTCGGGTGCTCGGGCACTGCCCGAGGGCACAGGGTCAGTATGGGGCCCCATGAGATGCCCCTGGTACCATTCAAAGGCTTTTTTGGGTGTGGTTTGAGTGTGGACAAGGACACAGAGGCCCCATGATCCCCTATTGCCCGGGGGCCCCATGAGTTGTCAGTCCACCCTTGCGTCTGCTATGTCATCACGGACAGCAAGTTAGAACAAAGAGCAAATGTGAAACTCTGCGTGAATCTGGGCAAATCACTGGATCTCTGCAATGTTGTCAAAGTGGTGACCTTTGAGATGGATCTTCATCTTCAGAAAGAGGGCATTTTTGGGGGTTGAGCTAGCTGAAGGTCTCCCTAATCTCTCATAGTCTTCCAGTGATGTTCTTCCACTCTTGAAGCACGTGAGCCACTCACACATCTTGAACAACTCATTGCAGCATCGCCGTAAACTTGCCATGTCAAACGTCTCTGTGACAAATTTGCCCAGTTTCACGCAGAGTTTCATGTTTGCTGTTTGTTCTAACTTGCTGTCCATGATGAAATAGCAGACGTTGGTAATGCATGTAGTCAGAATAGCACCACTCGCACAGCTCCCGATGTACACAGGATGATGTCTTTTGGCACACTGACTTATGCAGGTCAGTGCTCCCTGTGACAGTATGTGCAGCCTTGTGCTGCCACCTGTTGGAGTGTTACAAAACTATTCTAAAAACTTTTTGATACCACCTCGTACCAGTTTGATATCGGCCTATGGCAGTAAGGCCTTGTTCACCTATATGTGAGCTTTAGGTGCCAGGCTTAAAAAATAGTCTTGCTTGCTACATTTTGATGTGCTTTCATAAAAAATGCACGTTATTTAGAGTTCAATGATAATGCAACTAAAATATATGTAAAAAGCAACACAAATAAAATTCACAGCATAAATGTGATCTGGTCCTAAGTCAAGCTGTGTCTATGAGCAACAGTTCCATTTTAATTTGCTGCAGTATATACAATACTTTCCCAGCCATAGACTATGGTGTGTTTGAGACAGGGGCAGACAACTTATTTGGAAACTCGGGCACTGCCTGAGGGCCTGGGGTCAGTAGGGGGCCCCATGAGATGCCCCTGGTACCTTTTTCATAGGCTTTTCTGAGTTTGGCCAAGGACACAGGGGCCCCATGATCCCCTATTGCCCGGGGGCCCCCATGAGTTGTCAGTCCGCCCCTGGTTTGAGATGCTTGGTATATATTTCCAGAAGGTCATATTATACATTACCTGGAAACAAGTTCTTTAAGTAATGTTGGGACTTCAACTTCATGCTTGGTTACAACACCAAAAGAAGCTTTCACCGCAAGAGAATCAGATCCATAGATATTTATTCCGACATCATTCATGATCTGATTTCCATGTCTTTTGTCCAAAGACACATCTGATTTATCTTCATAGTTCAGCAGCTGGTAAGAACTTACGCCTGTGAAATACGGAATATACAGTCATTGTTAGCCTGTGTTTAGTCCTGCACACAAAGCCAGGTATAACTGGGCTAACTTGGAAACAAGGAAACAAACAGTAGATTCACAGTAGCCATTCATCTACTGCAAATCTACCTTTCCTCTGAAGCATGATCTGCATTCAGATTGTGCTTCAGAGACAATAAACAGGTGGCAAGGAGGTGTCACAATTCTTGATTTAACCCCATTTTTGCCAACAAACGTGCGCCAACATGCTTGCTCGACGTTTGCGGCAGTTTTCTGTCACCTGAATGTGTAGCATTCGGCAGGCATGCCATCCATCGGGGCAAAATTTGAGCACTAGGACAGAGAGAATAAATATGTGAGGGAAACCACCTCCTCCTGGAGGGACCTGGGGGCCAGCCTCCTTCCCACCGACTATAGACCCAGGATACCCAGGGAAGAGATATATCCCTCTTGCGTTTTGCATTTTAAATCTGCCTAGCAACAAAAAAAAATGCAAAATGCATCAGAAACGCGGAAAAAAGTGTCAAAAAAGACATGCAAAAACGCAACGCAAAACACACTGCAGAAATGGATCAAATGCAAACTGCCTAGGTGTGAACCTAGACTTACACAGGTTTGCAGTGTCAGCTCACACAGCTCAGCAGCAGCACTCTCTTAGTTATAGCAGCCTTTGGACTGATTTTTAATCTGGGCTACTCGTTTTTAGATGTTATTATATTCCTATTGCTTTTTCACTGTTTGGGGTCACAAGGAACCTTTTCCCCAAGAGGGTTATCACTTCCCTGGGTACCTGGCTGACTGTGAATTATACCAGCTATCCTTTCCATGCAATTAGGGCTGAAGGGACTGTTTCTGAGATCCCTTGGCATACTGAGCATCTGTGCATAGTGGAACTATGTGCAAGGGGGGAATTCCAGCATACATGGGGTTAACAAACTTTATTTTCTGTTACAGGTTTCCTGGCATCAACTATTGTTTGTCATAATTAGGTTTAGGTGATAAACTCTTACTTTTTTTATTCACCTGCAGAGTCCAGACTGCTAGGTGCCGGGAAGGAATCTATTTGTTTTTTCTTGTGTTTGATTGTTTATTTATTAATGTAATATAATTTTCTCCTGGGACTTGTAATGTGGGCCATACCTGTCTACAGGGAAGGATTTTTGAGTATAAATGCTGTGCTGTTTTCTAATAGAATCAGTCCTTGTTTCACTCCAGAAATGGAGAGGAGCGCACATGACATAGGGTAGCATGCATAAGGAAGTTTAATGGACAAAATAAAATTAATAGTTGCACTCACAAGCAACTGTGGGGTATAGAGGCTTGTCAGGTGGCTTGGAGGATAAGGCCAGAGTAATGCAGGCCATAGACGGGGAGAAAACCGGCCATTTTTTTTTTTTTTAGAAAAAACAAAAAATCGGTCGTTCAATCAGCCGACGTTACCACCATTGGTAAAAAAAAGTCGGCTGATTTTTGTCCCGTCTACGGCCGGCAATTAATATAATAGCGGTGTCCCTGCAGAGAGCTCCGCTATTATATTTGACATTTAAAAGAAGAAATAGAATTTGAATAAGAAAAAGAAGAAGAAATAGAATATGAATAAGAAGAATAGAAGAAATAGAATATGAATAAAAAGAAGAAATAGAATATGCAGAAGAGGAAGAAATATAATATGCAGAAGAAGAAATAGAATATGCAGAAGAAGAAGAAATAGAATACGCAGAAGAAGAAAAATTGAATATGCAGAAGAGAAGAAATAGAATATGAATAAAAAACAGAAATAGAATATTTGCAGAAGAAGAAGAAACAGAATATGCAGAAGAAGAAGAAATAGAAGAAATAGAATATGAATAATAATAAGAAAAAGTTGCAACATTGTATCTATTTGTATCCATTTTGGATACAGATGTTTCTATTTGGATACAAATAGATACAATGTTACTATACTTTTAAATGTCAAATATAATATCCGACTGAAATTCTTTTTTTTTCTTCGTATTATTCATCTATTATTTCTTCTTCTTCATATTCTTTTTCTTCTATTTCTGCTTCTACTTCTTTATCTTTCTATTTCTTCTTCTTATTTATTCTATTTCTTCTTCTTCATATTCTATTTCTTCTATTTCTGCTTCTACTTCTTTATATTCTATTTCTTCTTTTTATTCATATTCTATTTCTTCTTCTTATTCATATTCTATTTTTTTCCTTTTCTTCTTTTCCTTCTTCTTTCATGTCATGCTCATGTGCATTTTTTTAAATCGGTAAAAAGATTGGCCGATTTGTCCATCATTGCCGCGAAAAATCATCAGAACGACAAAAAGTTGCATTTTTGGTTCTATAGACTTCAATGGAAACACTGCAGAAAAGCATGTAGTGCGTTTTTGCTGGTTTTTGCTGCGTTTTTGCTGCTTTTTTTTATGTGTTTTGCATTTTAAGTCTGCCTAGCAACAACAAAAAATGCAAAACGCAACAAAAATGCGGAAAAAATGTGTCAAAAAACACATGTGCAAAAACGCAACGCAAAACCCCACTGCAGAAACGGATCAAACGCAAACTGCACATGTATGAACCTAGCCTAATGCTGTCCATACATGGGTTGAAATTCGAGAGATTTTTCATCCGAAAATCGGACCTAAGAATAATCGGCCGATTTTCGCTCTGTTAGTGGGTCAATGGCACCGGCCAATTTTCGTGGCTCCTCCCCTTTTTGGTGACTGAGCATGTTGGAAAATTTGTGAGAAAAACGACCCATTTTTTACTCAATGATGGTTAAATCGTACGATCGTTTTTCTGAAAAAAATATGTACATGAGCCGGGACCTGGAAGGAACAGAAGTTTCACCTGTTATATGGGGTGAACTTTATGACTTAGTCGGCCGATTTTCTAAAACATTGATGGCACCATCAGATTACCGAGCGAATGACGTTTTCGATTTTCAGGCGAAAAATCATTCGGAATTTGACCCATGTATGGCCTGCATTTGCAGTGCATTTGCAGTGTCAGCTCACATAGCTCAGCAGCAGCACTCTCTTCAGCTGGCCATACATTATACAATTTTCTTGAGAATTTTGCTTAGATTTACTAAAAACCATGTAATATGAGGTCAAACCTAAACAACACTTTCAACTGTATCCAATTAGGCAGGCCTTTGCACTACATAGTTGAAGGTAAATCTAAAGGAAATTGGGCAGAAATTGGACAGAAATATGTTTTACTCCAACATTGGTTTTGTCTGATACTTGGGGTAAATTTACTATATTCGGGTTCCAGAGTGGAGGACGCTATAGTTTGGTGTCCAGTTGGGGTGTCCGGCAGTCCATCACAAAATATATCTGGCATGGGCACAGACAACTATAAAAACTTGACAGAAGTTCTACTCTTCTCTACTCTACTCAAAACTAAGAAAAAAATGTTGTCTATACATACACATTGAAGGAGAAGTGTGGGAAATGAAAAAAAACAAACATCTATACCACACCCACCTGTAATGCTGCAGTTTTCCCCCACCAGCTGTAAATCCGAGTACTGAGCAATCACATGACCGCTGATCTCTCAGTTCTTGGGTCCCCTCTGAGCACAAAGAAGATGACTGTCATTGCTCTCTGCTCTGCCCCTACAGCGCTCACTGGAGCTTCGGGCTGTGAAGGGGCTGGCTTAGACTCACAGCGTCATGCTGAGAGGCTGAGCCAGCTGCCAGTCAGGCATCTGGGTGGATCTCACATTAAAGTCGGGATACATCCAGAGACTGGAACAGCTCTGTGATGTCAGCGGACAGCTGTCCTTAGCCTGCTGTTGGCAGATTCTGGGTCACAGGAGTACAGAACTAAGTGCACTTCTGTGACCTGCATTAGAAATATGACCAAACAAGCCATACTTTTAATGTGGTTTGACTGACCAAAGCTATATGTATAAGTTCTGAACCTAAGGTAATTATGCTTCTTCCTAATTAAAGTCATTAAATCTCAGAATGTAGACTTGTGCACACGTGTTACTGCACAATGGCTTAGTGGTTATCTCTTCTGTCTTGCAGCACTGGGGTCCCTGCTTTAAATTTTGGCCAGGGCACTATCTGCATGAAGTTTATATTATTCCTGTGCTTGTGACACACTTTGAAGACATGCTGGTAGTGTGTGTATGCATGTGAGATAAGGACCTTAGGTTGTAAGCACCTTGAGGGCAGGGACTGATGTGAATGTACAGTGTGCACAGTGTTTTATATACTAGGGGGGGTACAACTGGGGGAATCAATGGTGGAGAAGGATCTGGGAGTTCTGGTAGATCACAAGTTTAATAATGGCATGCAATGCCAAGCTGCGATTTCTAACATGAGCAAAATCCTCTCTGGAGGTATAGACTCCAGAGAGAGAGATATCATATTACCCCTGTACAAGTCATTAGTAAGACCTCATCTGGAATATGCAGTTCAGTTTTGGGCACCAATTCACAAAAAGAACATTGGGGAACTGGAGAAAGTACAGAGAAGGGCAACCAAACTTATAAGAGGCATGGAGGAGATCAGCTATGAGGAAAGATTAGAGGAACTGAATTTATTCTCTCTTGAGAAGAGGAGATTAAGGGGGGATATGATCAGCATGTATAAATACATCAGTGGTTCATATAGTGAACTCGGTGTAGAGCCTTTCACCCTGAGGTCATCACAGAGGACAAGGGGGGCACTCTTTACGTCTGGAGAAAAAGAGATTTAATCTCCAAATACGGAAATGTTTCTTCACAGTGAGAGCTGTGAAAATGTGGAATAGACTCCCTCAAGAGTTGGTTCTGGCCAGCTCCGTGGATTGCTTTAAAAAAGGCCTGGATTATTTCTTAGATCCACAGAATATAACTGGATACTAACATTTATAGGTAAAGTTGATCCAGGGAATAACAGATTGCCTCTCGAGGGGTCAAGAAGGAATTTTTTTCCCCTGCAGGAGCAAATTCTATGCTGCTTTGCTGGATTTTTTTGCCGTCCTCTGGATCAACTGTGGGTATAGGATTATACTTTTTTTTTATGGTTGAACTGGATGGACTTTAGTCTTTTTTTCAACCAAACTATCTATGTAACTATGTGTGCAAATGGTCAGTGCTATAAAAATGCATGTAATACATGGGATTCTGTAGGGCTGATTTACTAAAGGCACTACTCACTTTGCAAGGGAATTTGCTCCAGAGCCTGTTGAAATGTCACTTGGCAAAGAACACCCAATCACATGCAAGGAAAAAAGCATTTCCCTTGATTTGATGACAGAAGTCAACAAAGCTTCACCTCATTCGCTGAGCTCTGGGGAAATTTCCCTTGCAAAGTGCAACTTTCCTTGCAAAGTGAACAGTCTATTAGCCTTTATTAAATCAACCGCTGTATGTACATACCCAAGAAGGGCAAATGGAATTTGTAGAAGGCTGAGAAATACAGAACTGTATAGTAATACAGCATACAAAATCATCTTGCATTTTCAGTTCTATGAATCTAAACCATAGAGTGTTACCTGCTGAAATTTCCTTGTCTCCATCAAGAATATCCTTTAGCGTAAATGGGGTTGAGATATACTTGAACTTTCTGGAAAGGAAACAGCGTTTCTTCTTGATGACCAAGCTCAGTGGTTGGTATTTGTCAGCTTCACTGAGGCTGGGGACAGGGACCAGCCTCCCTCCATCTCCCACTTGTTTCACAAAGTTCTTGGGTGCAGCTGCAAAATAGCATAGCAAAGTATTACCTCTCTGCAGTCACACGGTCTGCCTTTCTATGAACTTCAGATCCCCATACTTTGTATTAGTCAGTGTGGGCCAGGGCATCCTTAGTCCTCCATGGCATATGCACAGCGGATTGCAGTGTTCTGTGCACCTTTATTGACTCCTATTACCAAAGTCAATGAATAATTGAATATGTAAAGTAATACGTGCCTTTGTTATTGTCCCTTGTAACATACAGAACTTGTTCCATGCTGTGAAGCTTCTCAACTTAACAAAAAAAAAAAATAGTAAGGCTTGCAACCCACCAATCAGACTTTCCTTAGATTTCATCTAACATTCATTTGTAAAGCTAGGCCACACATCAAATCTGTTTGCAAAATTTCCTTTACCAATAAATCTCTGCTTTACCAACAAGGATGTAATGTGAGCACCTACTTGATTGGATAAAACAATTTATGGATTGCACAGGTAGGGCCTCACATGTCACAAATGATGGTAAGTCTAAAGGTGGCCACACACATTACAATCTGATTGTACAGTTGTGTTAAAAATAATAGCAGTCAGACATCACTAACCTGATCAATCACTGTTTTTGGTAGAAATGATATTTCTACATGGCAAATAATTTACTAGCAGGTGTAGTAGAGTAATAGAAATCCAACAGACCCAACAGTCATGACATGCATGCTGCTGATTCTGTGTAATTGAATCACTAATTGAAAGGGGCATATTCAAAATAATAGCAGTGTGGAGTTCTATTAGTGAGGTCATTCATTCTTTGAAAAACGGGTGGCAATTATTGCCCTTATTTAAGGAAGGAAGGCAGCAAATGTTGTACATGCTGGTTACAGTGCATTTCGCTCTGAAAGTCTGAGGAAAATGGGTCGTTCTAGACATTGTTCAGAAGAACAGCATACCTTGCTTAAAAAGTTGATTGGAGAGGGGAAAACATATAAAGAAGTGCAGAAAATGATAGGCTGCTCAGCTAAAATGATCGCAAATGCTTTAAAATGGCAACCAAAACCTGAAAGACGTGGAGGAAAGTGAAAAACTACCATTCGAATGGATAGAAGAATAGCCAAAATGGCAAGGACTCAGCCAACAATCAGCTCCAGGAAGATCAAAGAAGGTCTAAAGTTACCTGTGAGTACTGTTACAATTAGAAGACGCCTATGTGAAGCCAAGCTATCTGCAAGAAGCCCCCGCAAAGGCCCAATGTTGAAAAAAACATGCTGAAGAGGTTACAATTTGCCAAAGAGCACATTGACTGGCCTAAAGAGAAATGCGCAACATTTTTTGGACTGATGAAAGTAAGATTGTTCTTTTTGGGTCTAGTGGCCGGAGACAGTTTGTCAGATGACCCCCAAACACTGAATTCAAGCCACAGTACACTGTGAAGACAGTGAAGCATGGTTGCGCAAGCATCATGATATGGGGATGTTTCTCATACTACAGTGTTGGGCCTATTTATCACATACCAGGGATCATGGATCAGTTTGAATACATCAGAATACTTGAAGAGGTCATGCTGCCTTATGCTGAAGAGAAAATGCCCTTCAAATGGGTGTTCCAACAAGACAACGACCCCAAACACACCAGTAAACGTGCAACATCTTGGTTCCAGACCAACAAGATTGACGTTATGGAGTGGCCAGCCCAATCCCCAGATCTTAATCCAATAGAGAACTTGTGGGGGTGACATCAAAAATGCAGTTTCTGAGGCAAAACCAAGAAATAGAGAACTGTGGAATGTAGTCCAAATCATCCTGGGCTGGAATACCTGTTCACAGGTGCCAGAAGTTGGTTGACTCCATGCAACACAGATGTACAGCAGTTCTCAGAAACAGTGCTTATACAACTAAATATTCATTAAGTGATTCAAAGGAAAGCAAAATCTTCAAACATTTTTCAGTTTATATAGTGAATGTTTGTAAAGAAGAATACAAACACTGCTATTTTTTTTGAACAGTCTAATATTCACTTTTCTTCAATTGTTTTAGAGGAACAACACAAATGTGATATATTTTTCTTCATGTTTTGATTTGGAATAGAATGTGTAGTGTTCCCAATGCATTGTGTGTATGGAAATAAAAGCTATTAGAAGGATTTTGAGCTTTATTCACTTTTTTCAACACACTGCTATTATTTTGAACACAACTGTATATTCACCCTGGATTTACAAACTGCTATGTAGGATCAGCTTCTACCTGCTAATAGACTATAAATTGAAACACCTACTATGTAGTGTGAGCTTCAACTTCTTCTGGGCTATTCGTTGAATGGATTTAGTAGGCCTAGACCCTTGCATCACAAAGTTGTTGGTACATATAACAGACTGAACAGGAAATGTACAATCAGATTGTAACATGTGTGGCCGATTGAACTACTGTATATCTGAAAAGTAGTGTGGGAAGACAAGACTCTGACCTACCCCATACTGTTATCTGGCACATGCTGGGGCAAACTCTGTGTGGTCAGTTTGAGATGAACATGTAGTCCTCATGCACACTGGACGTTTTCACCGCGGCTGTTTTTGGCTTTTGACGTTTTTTTCTACAGCTAGTAAACTCCCCAGCATGTTAACCTACGTGTCCATGCACACATAGACTGTAATCAAAGTTTTTGGCAGGGGCATTTTTTTGGCTGGAAAAAAAACCCAGAACTAGTTACACAGTTAGTCTGGCTAAAAAAAGACAAAAGTCCATCCAGTTCAACCATCAAAAAAAAAGTTATAATCCTATACCCACAGTTGACCCAGTGGAAGACGAAAAAAAAAACCCAGCAAAGCATGATCCAATTTGCTCCTGCTGGGAAAAAAATTCCTTCCTGATCCCCAGAGGCAATCGGATATTCCCTGGATCAACTTTACCTATAAATGTTAGTATCCAGCTGTTCTGTCTCTCCAATCTAAGCATTGAAAGTGTGATCTCTGTAACTTACAGTTGTGATGAGATAGTGATAACTCCAATGTTAGTTGAATAACACAGGCAGTGACTCGATCCAGATGACACCTTGTAGATCTTGTGAAGTTTATTTCATAAACTGAGAGAATCTAACAACAATGAACATTAGGATAGGTCAAAAGATCATACTGTGATCTGCGTCCATAACACATGAGGCTAGAAGCTGAAATGCATTACTGGGAAATGAATAAAAGGGTGGAGCTATCTATACATCATGAACTAAACCAAAGGAAAGGAAGGAGCAGAGACAAAATACAAAGAACCCTTAAAGGCATATGACAGTCATGTGAAACATGACACCAGTTATATTCTGTGTATCTAAGAAAGGCTGTGGGTTTCTAGAGGAGTTTTTTAGCTGTAAAAACGCTCTAACATAGAAAAATGCGGTAAATCACGGCAAACCAGTGTTTTTGGACTTTTTTTTACCTTAAAAATTTTTTTTTTTTGGTAAAAAAAAAACCTCTAAAAACTGCAAATGCGAAATAACGTGGCAAAAGCCGCTAAATGCTAATACAAAAACCCCCCAAAAAAAAAAGCTGAAAAACTCATGTTTTTAATGTGACTTTACACAGCCAACGTTACCAGCATTATTAAAACGCTTAGTGTGCATGGAGCCTTAACCTTTAACCACCTCCCGTCCAGCCGTTGTATATAAACGGCTGGACGGTGGCAGTGCAGGGTCAGGTGGCCATTTATAAACAGCCTCCCCACCCCCCTGCTTGTGCGTGCTCCCTGGGAGCTCAAAAAATGCTAAGAAAATTTATATGGGTACAGTGTTGCATGACCGTGTAATTGTCATTCAAAGTGTGATAGCACTGAAAGCTGAAAATTGGCCTGGACAGGAAGGGGTAAAAGTGTCCGGACCTGAAGTGGTTAATGCAGAACTCATGCAGCAAGGCAACTGGTTATTAACACCTAGCTGCTGCACGTTATTGCGGCTCTAAGGTTCTGTGCGCAAACTGGCCAAGCTGTCATCAACGCATCCTGGTCTCTGATTACGATCCTGATCATGTGACGGCTGTAACAGACAATCACAACCATCACATGATTGGGAAGCAGCGTCAGCTTCCAGGTGTTAAAGTGGTTCTAAAGGCCAAAGGTTTTTTTTTACCTTCATACATCCTTTCCCCCTCTTACTTGAGCCCAATCTTGATCTAGCAATGTGCATGAAAACAGAGGCTCTCTCACTCCTCATTGGCCCAAAGACAGCAGCAGGAGGCTTTGCCTCCAACTGCTGTCAATCACAGCCAGTGGGGAGAGAGTGGGAGGCGGGGCTGATCCCCACTCTGTGTGTCAATGGACACAGGGCAGGGCTCGGGAGGCATGCTATGGGGGCACTCAGCGAGGGAGAGGGGCCAGGAGTACCAGCGAGGAAACCCAGAAGATCAGGATCAGGGCTGTTCTGTGCATATCCATTGCATAGAGTAGGTAAGTATGACCTTTTAAAATACCTTTAATATCACTTTAACATCCATTTAAAGCAGAACTGAAGATGTTTTTTAAAAACCAAAAACGTCCAAAAAAGCAAAGTCCAAATAAAAGTCCAGTGTCCCAAATGTTTGTGACAAAAAAAAAATCTATAACACAAACTTCATAAATTTTCCAGCGTACTTACACCATCAGTGATAAATCGTTTGCTCCACACCAGGGGCGGACTGACCGTTTGAGCACTCGGGCACTGCCGAGGACCCGGGGTCAGTAGGGGGCCCATTGAAATGCCCCTGATACCTTTTATAATAGGCTTTTTTTGAGTGTGGGAAAGGACACAGGGGCCCCATGATCCTCTATTGCCCGGGGGCCCCATGAGTTGTCAGTCCGCCCCTGCTCCACACTCACCAAATATCATTGATTCTCAAGCTGATATAGCCGAGAAAAAAAAACAGGCTTAGAGGTGGAGTGTAGTCGCCTCAGATGTTATTTCTCTCTTCAACGATTCCTTACTGAATCTCATTAGGTGGCTTCAAAACCAACTTCCATGGATTCACATGCCCCCCAAAAAAACAGATAGTGTGGAACAAATGATTTATCACTGATGGTGTG